GTAGTCATATCTCAATCTAAATGAGATGGAGGTAGTGTCACATTATGTTTGGACAATTTCATGCATTTATATACCATTTTCATAAAGTTTATTATGATTTTAGTTGCATAACTAGCTGTTGTAGTTACTCATTGTAACGTGTTTAAATTTTCCTTATAGTTTTTCATGGATGATTGTTTGGAAAGGCTCCTTGGTATTATTGACACAAGGGAAGATTTAAAAACCATAATACCTAGCGAGAGAGTTGCAACACTGATCAGATCTCGCTTAGAATTAAAATGCAGGTTCCTTACTTGTCAAAATGGTCTCAAGCACTCGGTATACATGTCTCTTTGCCTTACATGCATATCATATTGCATTTCTTTGTTATATGAGTGACCCAGCCCCCGGTGTTTGTTGCTGAAAGGAATAAAATATGGATTGGTCAATGTTGTATTAATAACATCCTTGTGGGAACTACATATTGTAGGCACAACCGTGAACATTCCAACAAGCTTTAGGCAGCGGGCAGTGTTGGTTGATGAGATATGTCATGTTGTTGGTGATGAAGATTCTAATAATATTGATTGGTATGTGAAGTGCACCGTGCTTGGTGGAATATTCTCCACAACTGAGCTATATATGCTGACTGATAAACCACCTGGTTATTTACTTTTTTTCCCCAGAATATATTTGATAAAATCCTTCCTTCACACTAAAACAAAACCTAGTCCCACCCTTTTGTTCTTCCCTTTTTATGTGATATAGTTGAGGATTTCTTTATGTTAAATGTGTTTCTTGAGTGATCTCGCCACCAATAATATTCAATGCACATTACCCCATTTTTTTGATTTTTTTTTTGCATTGGATATGATGTTCTTCTATATTTTTAAATAGGTGCTTGCTATGGTACCCAACAAAAATAGGAGGGTACCATACTTAGGATGCATTTCATTGGTCCAACTCAAAGTTTTGCATTTTATTTGCATTTAAATTATTCAATTGAAATTTTTTGATTGGTCCATACCATCAAGGTATCATACCTTCAAGGTACCATAGAAATTGCCTTTTAAATATGCTTCAACCGACCTATTTATCTAAAGAATAACTTTTATTCCTACATGCTCTGTGAGTGGTGAGCATGTAATGCAGTTGAAGCACGACCTAAAGTACAAAATCAAAATTAGCTGCCTTGTTGGCAACTTACATTCTTTATTATATTTGTCCCCACATTAAGTTTACACTTTTTTTGGTAACACTTGGTTTGTAAAAGACTCAATTACCCTATGAACATTACTACATTACTTATTGCTCACTTTCTCTATCATACCTTTAATTGAGGATATATTTGTAAAATCAATACAAAAGTTGTCTTACATAAAATCCATGATGTTCGTACTCCCTAGGAAGTAGGACCATAAATGGGGGACATGGGGTATTATATTTTGTTCATGTTTTCAGATCTTGTCGATACATGGAAGTTCATGGATGCCCGAATTAGAGAAGCTTTTGACCTGCGGAAGTCTGCTTACGAGGTGAATATATTAGCCTTTATCTTTAGGCTGCTTTCCAAAAAACAAATCATATTTGCAAGGTTCAGAGAGATTTTATTTATGCGATTTTTCACATTGAAAGTTTGACCCTGAAAAGAGAGTGCAATTTTTGTAGGCAAAAAATTTGGCCGAAGCTAGGGATAGCAACGGGGCAGTTCGGGGTCGGGTATACCATACCCGTACCCGCCCCGTTTGATAATATTTTTCCCCGAAACTGCCCCGTTACCCGTCGGGTATTTTTTATCCGCGGGTAACGGTTTTCCCCGCGGGTAATTGTTTTATTAAAAGATAATTTTTTTCTTCAAACTTAGTATAAATCCTAAAATGATGATTAACTACTTATAAAGTTATAATTGACCACCTAAATTAAAAAAATCAAAATTAAATAGCACCACAGATAAAGTTTTTTAAAACATCACAAAAAATTACAATCGTTTGAACCTAATATCCACAAATTATATATATCTAGATTCAAAATTATGAATCTCTTACCACATCAACATCAAAAAATTAAGTCTTGTCTCGATAGTAAAATCTAAATATGAATCACAAAAATATTTAACTTCAAAAATTCAATGATCATACCCCACCAGCATTCAACATCTAAATTTAAGAACAGTGTTGTATACAAGTAACATAATGAAAATGAGATTTTTTCCCTAAAATATTACTAATAAAAAATATATGGACATAAATGTGACTATAAGTTACCATGGGTAAGTTGTATAGTCACTACAATACAACATTTTACATTTCTTTTAAACCCCACCCGGACTTTCCTTATTCGTAGTTGAATAAAAGGCACTCATCAAAAGTGAAAAGTGATAACTGGATCAAGGCTGGGTACATATATAATGCCTCTGATATCAAATTTTATCAATTCAATTTCTTCTACTTTGTAAAATGATTATACATTTCCTCCTGACTTGAGGAAAAGAATATAATAGATAGACAACACTACATCCTTGGAAAGAACTTCTAAGGATTATGATGCACTTCTTTAAAGTTTTGATGTTTCGATTGTATCACATGCTTTCTTTATTATTAAAGGTAAATTAAGTAAGCAATTTGAAGCATGTGATGGAGTATATAGTTTGATAGCACTATGTATTAAGGGCAGCCCTTTTCACATTGGCGCCTCTGCAAGGCGATAGTCTAGAAAAGGCTTCCATCACAAGGTGTATATGGAGCATGCCTTATCTTATCATTTTGACAAGGGGCTGCTCCAACACTTAAATTTGTGATCTCTCAGTTGCATATATGCGCAAGTAAAGTAATACCAATAATACATATGCTTAAATTTATTATGTTTTCACTTGCATTAAATTAGAAGTAATAGAATGTTATAATTGATTTCACTAAAAGTATTGTGATTACTAATGACCCAAATATTTCAACCAACTTACTTGGTGGGTTGGTTAGCCGTTTGCTTCTTATCCTAAGGTGTATACGGAGCATGCCTCATCTTGTCATTTTGACAAGAGGCTGCTCCAACACTTAAATTTGTCATCTCTCGGTTGCATATATATGCATAAGTAAAGTAATACCAATAACACATATAATTGATTTTCACTTGCATTAAATTAGAAGTAATAGAATGTTATAATTGATTTCATTAAAGGTATTGTTACTACTAATGACCAAAATATTCCAACCAGCGTACTTGGTGGGTTAGTTAGCGCTTTGCTTCTTATCCTAGTTTACGTGAGTTCGAATCCTACACGCAACAAATTTTTTAGATTTGGCTTTTAGTATTACGATTATATTCCGGATTTTCCGCGTCCGACCTGAGTCGAAACGGGCTATTGGGTTTTAGCGGTTATGTGATATTGATGGATCAGTGTGTAACTGGACCGGATTAGATGCCTGGTCTCCCTTAAACTATAAACAATTATGGGCAAAATCTAAAAATTATCAATTCTAATGATTGGACTCAATTCCAATTTAAGTGGAAATCAATTTCAATTGATATAACTAGGGATAGAGTCGGGCCGGGTCAACCGGTTTGTAACCGGTCCGGCCCAGTACTATTTCGGCCCGGCCCTGATCAGCCTGGTACCCGGGCCCGGTCCTGTACACCCGAATCACCAATTTTCGGGACAGGCTCCGGATCTCCAGAAAGTGAACCGGTCCGGCCGGCCTGGGCCATTTTTTTTTCACAATCTTTGGAAGGTAAATGGGTTGGGCTAGGTGTTTAGGAGGGGTTTGGGGTGTGGGGGTATGAAGTAATTAGAAAATAAATAAAATCGGGTCAACTGGCCCGACCCGGCACAGGCCAGACCCGTACCGCCGTACCGGTAGCTATCTGGGCCGTTTCCGGGCCTCAAGAAACCATTCAAAGCCCGGTCAGACCCATCCCAAGGCCCGAGTCCTTGCCTAGATATAACTCTACTTTATTAGTACTAAAGTAGATATTATATCTTTCACTTATTGTACTCCAGGGTTTTTCCCATGTACGAAGTATTTACTACGTAGTAATAAAGTTGCTACTAGATGGAAACCTGCACACATATGATAGTTTTGAGCAATGAAGAATCAAATTCCTGTTTACGTTAAAAAAAATTCATTAATTACTTAAGTGTTTATAGTCAAGAAATTTTTTGTAATCGTATAATAATAATACTAATGTACTAATGTGATTGTTGAATTTGAATTTACTATTATGTTTTATTCATATATGCATATGTAAAGACTAAAGAGACCCTAAAAAAATGTCAAGAGACCCTCATAGTGTTGTTTAGTGTGTGGATTTCGAAATAGAAATCGATCAAATAGGAGTAAAATATAGTAAGAATTCTAAAATAGGATTACATGTTTTTCTTTTCAAAACAAGACTTCCTTGATCCTATTAAAACAATATAAGAGAATAAATATCTCTCTAAATTGGAGTGATTGAATTTTATTTTGGGATGAAAAAAGGTGAAATTTTATAATAAGAATGGTGATGATGTGAAGACCAGTAAAATTTCATAATGTTTTTGATCATAATGTGATTGATCAAGACCAGTAAAGACCTCAAGGTAAAAATTTATAACTTAGTTTGCATATGTTTCAATTCGGTGACTGTTTTTGGACAAATTAGATAAGAAATGTTTTCTCTTTCATGTAATTAATGACTGTTGTGTGCTCTCTTGTTGACATTTTGATAGTACATTTGAGAAACTAATAAGAATGGTTTTGCTCACAAAATTCTGCAGTTATTTCTAGAAAACTTGCATTGTCTGCGAAACAAGCTGCGTATTTTTTTAGTAAATTGTTTTTAGCTTTGCTGATTTGATTTTTTTAAATAATAATCTTATTTTATAGTGCTATTACATGAACAGTTGAAACTAAAAACTGCTTCATTCACTTTGTGATCAAGTTATTCAATTCTTTTAGTGTAATTAGTCATCCACAAGGCCACAACTAGTAGGAATGTATTGAAAGGAAAAGAAAACATCATGAGAAGAAGAAAACTTATACTGTCAGAAAAAGGAAGACTAGTAGGATACATTGAGAAGCTTTTCATTTCACTCATCATCACCATAAAGCATAAACGTGCATACTTAAACGTGCACACGTAAATTAATATTAGTAATTTAACAACTAATCAACTTTCCGAACAGAGTTTTCAGGCTTGCATTTCAATAAGTATGAAATGATTAAAAAATCAGATCAGACATTTTCCACATTGTTTTACAAATCTTCTACGTGATTCAATATATGCTTCCCAAGTTTGGTACGAGAAAGAGCTGACCGTTGCACCTTAAGAACAGAGACAAGAGATTCATAATGCTTGTTATTACTTGCCTGCATGGAGAAAAAGAAAAATGCATAAAAAGATTAGTAGCCATAGATATATAGTGCATTAAGTAGGCTATTTTAGATTATTTATAAGATAAAATGAGTTTTATTTACCTTTGCGGTCTGAAGAGCTGTTTGGATAACATAATTTCCGAATCGATCACGAGCAAGTAGCACTAAGCTCTTTTCACTGCTGAGAAGGCTCTCAACTACCGAATCCAGTGCATACTCTGAAGCTTGTATGCATTTTTCTACAACACGACTTCCACTTCTTTTAAAAGCCAAACGTAGGTAATCTCTCTTGAGGCAGTCACATATTTTTTGTGTGAGCTCATCATTTCTAAGCATTAGAACTTCTTGGACAACATAATTCCTATTTCAAGAGAGATAAAAGCAAGTTTAATTAGTTGAAGAGTGAGAAAGTTGTGATAACATATTTAGATTCGTAGTTTGAAGAGTGAAAAAGTACATACCCATAAGGATCATTAGCTAAGAAATCAGATTTTTCTGCAATACTTTTGAGCAATTGTTGTCTTTGGGCACCAGTAATGCAATTCAAGCATACATTCAAGGATGAACATCCATATTGTGTTGTTGCCACCTCATTCAAGTAAGAGATTGCACAAGTGAATAAAACCTGCAGTGTCATTAAGTTGAGAAATTGTAGTGAGTTCAATTATTTTAGTGTAATGTAATGTTATTGCCACCTCTTTCAAGCTATAATGTTTAAATTATTTTAATTTGTGTTTTTCTAGTAAATATACTCTAACTCTTGAAAATAGTATGATTATGGAGGGTGAGGTCATCTTTCATTCTAAATGTATTCTATCTGGTACGTGTTCCAATGACTATATTATACGAAGTACTACTTATTAAAGTGATCACACTTGACTTTATCAGAAAAGAGTACTTGCATTAAGGGAGGCATATCTGTGAATGGCCGGGAACCCTCACAAGCACTCTTGCGTGAAAGCTAAAAAGGTCGGAATAGGTATCTAAGTGGACTTATTTTAATAATGTTTGAATTGATTCACTAAAAGAGTGAGGGGAAGTTGGTATTTTACAAAATTTGTAACAAAATACACTTTAATTTCTTTTATGAAATACGAAGTAATACCTAAACATATGATCAAAATAATAAAGATATTTAGTGGACAAAATAAAAATATCCTTTGTATTGTATTTAGGAATATAATATTAGTACACACATGCACATATGTACGTAGTATAACATAAGAATAACATTGACGATATCAAGACCAACTTTGATTTTAAATAAGGTGCCTAGTACGGTGCCCAGTCAAAATAGAAGCGTACCATAGCTAGCATACATTTCATTGGTCCACCTCAAAGTTTCATATTTTATTTACATTTAAATTATTGATTTGAAAATTTTTTATTGGTCCATACCTTCAATATCTACGGTACCTTGAAAGTACGGTAGATATTGACTTTAAATAAATGTGCAACGGTACGTAAAAGTCCAAATAAAAGTGGACCCCAGAATCCCGTAATTAGGAAAGTGAAATGTGAAGGGATTGATGAAATTTATAGCCTTCCACTTTTTCCATATTAACTTTTCTTGATGTTAAATTTTGGACAATGATTTTGGTTATTACATTTTGACTTAATTTATGTATTTTATACTTCTATAAAATTATTTTGAATAAGTAACATTTTGATATAATATTTTCATTCAAAATATTTTCACATTAAAAAATATCGTTGATCAAAATTGATTGTCATTGAACAAGAAAGTCAATTTGGTGAACCTTTGTGTGTAAGAGGGAGTATATATGAGGTACTGATAAAAAAAACAAAGACGTTGAAAATACACATGAATCTATCATGATTTTTGTCTATTATTTTCAAATAGTATCATTGTTATAGACTTATAGCACATCACCACTCTTTAATTTAAATGTATAAAGTATATATGACACTAGTTAAATAAGATGTAAGTTTAGTAAAAAACCTCATTTTCTTTAGGCTCGAAGGTGTAAAAGCACTCTTGAACTACAAATCTACCGTGCTTGCTAGTCATCAAATCAACAAATCTCATGGAAAGGATGATTGCAATGAATTGTCCCAACCCAGTGTTCTTAAGTCTTTTGATAAATCTTTGAACTGCACTTGACCTGTTATAGCATTGATGCATGTGATATGAACTTATTAGTAATATATCGATTGTGACAAAATAGTAAAACATGGAAAAATCATTATCAAGACAACTATGCATGAATATAATAATTCTTTTTACCCGTATTGCACAAGAGATGTGTTGATAAGCAACTCCTTGCATGATATCAGGTTTACAAAGATGGTGTCCATCTGTCTAGAATCACAAAACTCAAGTATTCTTCGGAAGAGATGGTGGCCATGTGGATCTATCATCACCTCAAATATGCATCTAATAATCCCATCAAGAACTTCTTGCCTATTTCTCGGATTCCCATTCTTTATCAGATTTTGAAGTTCAAGTGACCCCTCATGCGTTTTAGACATGCGTACAAAGACGTCCTTTGGACGATTCGGTGTAGAGAAGCACTGATATTCGTAGTTGCAGTTTCTTGCAATATTATTACAATTATAACATGAATGGAAACTATATGATCCTCCACCAAACTGATTCCGTTCGACGTTGTAGTTTTCTGGAACTAAATAAACAAGATAAATGAGTAAATGAAATAAAAAATGTATTAGAGTCTATGGATTCAAAATCAATCAATTGACGGTGATTTTGGAAACATTGCACCAAAAAGAATCATGGCTCACCTATAGTCCCACTAGTGTTTACACATAAAGGTTTTGGATAGATCTGATAGGCCAGGGATCTATAGCATTATCCATTGCTTTATTGAAATCCATTTTTTCCAGTAGCCCAGACTATGAATTAACTATGACACTCTATGCATCTTTATAATTAAACTCTCTGCATTTCAAGTTCTCTTCAGATATCAAGTAATCTCAGGTTTGTGTGTAGTGATAAGGTTGTCAATTTTACTTGTTTCCTATTTCAAATATAAAATTCTGATTGATAGGTTTAATTGTTTGATTGGATAGGTTGTATTCTTGATGTCATGAATCCAGCCTAGTTAATTGCGTGGTTCATTGAAGATATTTTGAATTACAGGGATGGGATCATTTTGGCTGACTTAATATACCCATTTTTGTAGTAAATGGATACTTTTGAAGACAGAAATAAAAGGTGGTTCCATTCATATTTTAGAAGACCCGGGCTGCGAGACTGAAGAACAAATTAAAGGCGGTGAACTTTATTTTTCAAATCTACAAAATCCTTTTTTGTAAATATAAAAGAATTAGTGGCAGACTATAGTGACTGAAATTCTGTCACAAAACATAGTTTTTCCGCTACTAAACATTGTCTATATTTTAGTGTTCAAATTTTAGTAACGGACAGTCCGCCAGAGATATCCGCCACTAAGCCATGTTGTGGCAGAAATAGTGACGGATTCCGCCACTAAATTTCGTGATTTCTTTTTGTGACTGTACTATATATAAGAATTCAAGAAAATTGAAAAAAAAGACGACACTACTTACTTTTAGCAGTGTTATCGGCAAAATTGTGAAATAGCAAAGTATGTTCCGGAGAGTAAGGGTCATGTAATGTCTTCCTCCATTCGTCCAGCTCCTTCTCCAAAGAACTGATCAACTCATAGTAGTTCACGTTCATAGCCATATCTGTGTGTGTTTTCGTAAGAAGGAATGAAAGAAGCTAATTATTTTTTAGATGATTATTATGAGATCGAATTGAAGGAAGGCGGGAGGGAGGGACGGACGCCGCTTTATATATAAGTTAAAACTTTCCTAATCCTATGATGTTATGATCCTATTGGGTTTCTTAATTATTTGTACAAAAATAGGAAGCAACGAGTAATCATATATCTGCCGCCATAATGTACTAATCCTACCAGAAATTTTTAGGAAACACAAAGTAATTATCAGGGTTAATTATCAAAATAGGACTAAAAGTCACTCACTTTGCACAAATAGGACCAAAAACTAAACTATATTTTCATAGAACTATATATATGTGTCTTGGACAAATATACCCTTCTCGCTATTGAAATGCTTTAATTCATAATAAAATAATAAAAAATATTAAAAATTCGTAAAAATACCAAAAAGCTAATAAAAATATTTCGATAATAATAATTAATTTATTTATTTTTTTTCAAAAAAAATAAAAATAAAAAAAAATTAAAAAAATAAAAAACTCAAAAAAATAAAAAAAAATCACCGCCGCCTCTGCCGCCTCTGCACCACCACCTCCAGTCACCGGAAAAAAAATGCCAAGTTCATTACGAATGCCATATTTATGGCAGAAAATAATGAAAATGTTGGCATTCTCAAGGAGAAATATGCCATGTTTTTGGCATTTTCAGGAAAAATGGCAGTTTTTAAGAAAAATGGAATTTTTTTCACCACCCGGAGATGGTGGTGCAGGGAGGTAGTTCAGACGGTGGGAAAGGCATCCATATATTTTTTTATTTTTTTATGGAGTTTTACTATTTTTTATTAATTTTTTAAAAAAATAAAAAAATCTATTTTTTTTAATTTTTTATTTTATAAATATTTTATAAATTTTTTAATTATTTTTCTACGATTTTTTGAATTTTTTTCGAATTTATTATGAATTAAACATTTAATTAACTCATATTTAAAGGAAGGGTAAGAATGGAAGGAAAAAATAGGTATGTTTCCAATAGGACTAATTTGGTCCTATTTTGAAAAGAAATACATAGTAAGTCCTATTTTGAGTTTTTGCCATAGTTTTAGTCCCATTTGGAGTAATTTCTATAATTATTAAACTTATGTGGGTGGAATTTTAACTTACGGATTAATTAATTTGTTAGTGGAATGTAAAATTTTAGGGAAAGTTCCCGAAATAGGACAAAAACAGTTTGAAAATTCTAAAATATGATTGTCATGTTTTATGTTTCATAAAATAGGACTAACTACTGTCATGTTTCAAGTCAATGGTGTCTAATTTTGACCAATTATATATTTATATACATAAGTATTGATAATATGGAAATAATATATATGAAAACGTTCTTTGTCAGAAATATGAAAAATTATGCTCCATATTTGAAATTTATATGATTAATAAATTAAAGATCGAAGATTTGTACTACAAAATCACCATTTCCAGCATATTCGGTTATCAAACAAATTTCATTCTTACTTGTTTTGATTAATATATATACTCCCCCAGTTCCATTTTGTATAATACTTTTCCTATTCACTTGGTCAACACAAATCACTCTTAATCTCTTATTTTACATATCAAATTTTTATCGAATTTGATTTTGGTTTTTGTGACTTTGTAAATCTTTTAATATAGTTTCTGAATATGTATTTTTTTTCTAAAAATTATTTGAGTGCGGACAGAGATCAGTTTGCTTTATCATCGGTCAAACTTTGTAAACCGCAAAGTGCCTTACAATTCGGGACGGAAGGAGTATGATTTACTGTGAATAAAAAAATTAGTATTCCATGAAAAAGACAAACAGGGTATATGGGCAAAAACACGTTATCAAATTAAATGAGCACTTTAAATATCTTGTTACATACTTAAAGTTGACATGGAGATATAAAAAAAATGTAATTGCTTGATTATAAAAGTTAGTTTGATTCATCATCATTCTTTATAAACAATGATCATATAGTTTAGAATTGTTTAGTTTCATAATGACGAGAAAGTATCATATAGCGTGGTTGAGCTCGAACTCGGATTTGATCTTAACTTAATGATCTGGGAATCGAATATAGTGTTCGAGCCGACCTCAGTGGGTCGAGGTCGGCCTCGGCGGATTATTGACTTACTGTTCGGGAGACTTTCTTGTATGTGAATGCTGGTACCCCTGAGATATATAAGAATATACTTCACCAATACGACTATAAAATTTTCTTTTCAAAATAACTCGTATTTGCTCCTATTAAAATAATACTCTGGTGTAAACATTGATCTAAAAATTGTCGTTCTAGGCGCTCGACTAGTCCTGCCTAGACGCTAGGGGGTGGCTAAGCTCCCTGATTTTTGTCTAGACACCTCAACTAATTAATTGGTTTACCGCCTAGGTGAATTAGTCGGTCGCCTATGACGCCTAGTTGCTTGGCCAGAGCGCCTAATCGGCTGTCTTGGGCGTCTAGATTCGCAAACATTACTTTCATTTTTAATTTTATTTTTCTAAGGAATATATGTACCTTTAACTTTAATCACGAATATAAAGAAATGTATAGTTGTAAATAAAGATAAAAACTATATATGTATACTTAAATTTTATTATTATTTAATACTTATCGCATAATGAAGTTAAGTAATTAGTTATCAAATAGGCTATCCATCCAGCCCAATTGATGATTTGGGATGACGAAAATTTACTGCCCAATATATTTCATTTGCTTTTGGATTATTGTATTTCGGGAAGGTATGTCTTCTCTGAAAGGGTATTGATCTAGTCCCCCTTCTTTGTACGCTCTGTATTTTTAATAAAATTTGGCAAATCTTTTCCGGCATTTGCCCCACCGATTTAATTTCCTATTTAATTTGTTTTTTGGAAGAGGAATGCCTCTTTGGGAGAAGTTTAGGTGTGGTCTCGCTCTTCTTTGTAGTAATCTTTTTTCATTAATAAAATATGGCAAATGTTCAACAGCATTTGCCCCACTGATTTTGGTGATTTGTCTTCCGGGTTAAAAAAAGGGAGTGGGAACTTCTCATAGAGTATATAGACTTGGATCCCGGATCTCACGACTATTGGGCCTGGAACGCGGTCCACATACGCTTACCGGGTGTCAATTGTATTATTGTACAGTTCATATATCATCTGTATCTATTAGATTAGACTTTTATATAGTTGGACCTATCCGGCTCATATTAGTGTCACGACCCGCTCTCTCTATATATACTCCCTATGGAGACATTGTAACCCTAATTCCTAATTCAATACAACACAATACACTATTTATCATCTTCTTATTATTATTAGCAAGGTCGTGCTTACACTGAACTGAGGCCACTAAAGCATGGGCCTCAGGGCCCTAAAAATGTCAAAAATTTAGGGGCTCAATAGTTTAGCTATTTTCCTTTAATATGTATTACATGTTTTTTTAAATATAAAAGACACGCCTTTGTTTAATTCTATCGTTGTTGCGTTTGAAACTCAAATAGCCGACAAATTGACCAATGAAGTTAGAAGATGAACACCGAACTAGATTACTAGAGCCGCCAGGCGGTGCGCCGATAAAAGATATGCCTGTCGATTTTTCAGTTTTTTGTGAATAGCTTTTGCGTTTGCAAGTTCTGACTTTTGAGAATTGAGATTGTAAAGTAAGAGAGTTTAAAAGCCCATTTTGAATTTGTTTTGGACACAATGAAAAATTGTTCGAGGGTTGATTTGAGATCATACTTCTGGACTCATACATTTAGAAAATTAAGTTTGAACTTAATTTTGACTATTCAAACGAGCTGAGATGCATAATTAAGCAATTTCAGTTTTTTAATATTTAAAATTTACATTTTAAGTAGGTTATGTTCTCTAATTTACTAACAAGAATGCATTATTTAGACCATTTGTTTAACTAATATTAGGATGTGTAAGCAAAAAAACTAGTATTATCATATTTATGATTTCAATAAATTATGTTTTATTTATCTTGAGTTTGGCCCGATAGAGCACTTACGTCTTATTAAGGATCATGAGACTTATGTTACATATCTTGGAGGAAGGATTCAAAATGAATTCATACAAATGTTGGCAAATGAGGTTAGGAAAAGGATACAAAAACATACATCACATATATAATCTTGTTGACAATACCTGTTACAGTAGACAGTGCAGAAAGAAAGTTCTCAAAACTTAAGTTGCTAAAGACATTTTTGAGATCAACCATGTCTCGAGAAAGGTTGAATGGATTAGCTATGTTATTAATTGAAGGGAAAATGGGCAAATAAGCCCTCGAACTAATCGCAAAAGTGCAAATCACCCCTTTTATTGGAGGCTCTGTCTCACCATCGTTATTTGGGGCGGTTACTGGTGGAATTTTTTAATGAATATTTTTAATCATCTTCTTCATTAAGTCTAGTTTATCCATACCAAATTTCAGCTAAATATGCAATCGCGAAGGCAGTCAAATAAATGTTTGAAGATAACTGCGCAGTTAAACAGCGCAGTATATTTCAAAAAATCATTTGACTATCTTCTCGGTTGAACTTTTAGCTGAAATTTGGTATGGGTAAACTAAACTTAATGAAGAAGATGCTCAAAAAAATTCATCAAAAAATTCTACGTGGAACCGCCCTAAATGGCGATGGTTGGACAGAGCTTTCTATAAAATGGGTGATTTGCACTTTTTCGATTAGTTCGAGGGCTTATTTGCACCTTTTCTCTTAATTGAGAAGGAATTTGCTGAACACCTCGATTATGCCGACTTGATTAATACCTTTGCTGCTAAAACTATCTGACAAGTTGTACTTAATTAGTTACTTTTAATACATTGGGTATTTTTATATTATACTCCGTGTAATGTAAGAATTTTATTGAGGCATTTTTATAAAGTTTGACTCAGGCTCGAGTTTAGGTAGAATCGACACTACTTATTAGTTCAACCTCTCAAAATATTATATATTTGGATACCTATTATCCATGAACATCATTTGTACACCCCTATTTGTGTGGTCTACATAAATTATTAGAGGTACAAACGGTCTACATCAAAATGGGATACATACGGAAGCGTATATGGTACAGCTGGGTGTACGGTGTCGATCGTACAGCCTGTGGCAAACTTGTAATTTTGGTGAA